CAAGGACACAAACACTGAGAAACAAGGAGGTTTTTTTTTGTTTTCTGAGACTGTTTGTTTTCTCTAAGTGCTCAGTCTCTAGTCTGGGGCCTCCTGGCTTTAAGACTGACCACACAAAGCTTTCTGTCAATGTGCCTGTTATTGTGTTAGAGACAGACTGTATCACACCAAATAAAGCTGATAGCCATCCCTTCGAATATAGAGAAGAGGCTCAACAGCCGCTCAATCCATTATTCGTTTTTCTTGTATGTCTTTGTGTGTGTGTGTATTCACATGTTTGTCTTTGTATGTGGGCAGAGGGAGAAGGGAGATTAATAGACAAGATATGAGATGGACTATTATACTTTGAGAAGTTTTAAATAGCTTTTCACTGGTGGAGGGAAAAAAGCAGAGGCGGTGTAGTCTCCTGCTATAGAACAGACTGCTAAAAAAAACGATGAAGAAGCGATGCACCGGTGAGACAGTTACAGAGCATATTGGCATTGAGAGGGACAGACATCAGCATCCTTCCAAGAACCTGCAACAAATGAAACATAATGTGCTCCAGGAAGAGATGCAGGTACAGGACAGATTCGTGGGCTCTGATCAGAGCACCGATTGCAGGTTTACATGCTGAGGGAACTAGATGGCACTCTGAACCATGATCCATGTCCAGTTAATTTGCCTGTGTATCTTCTTCCATTAAGATCTGGAAAAGGTTAATTTGGACACAGATGTTTGATGTGTAAAACACCAGATGACTCTTGCTGTTTTTTTTTTCATATTTAAACCAAGTGGCAACTTTCAGAGCTGAAACAATTAAGCCTGAAGTGCAAAAAAGTATTCTTAAAAATCATCGCCTGGTACACTCATCCATACTTTACTATAGTCAGGTGCTTGGCTAGCTTAATTGACAGGTTTCAGAAGAAGCTAGATCTCACCTATAATTATTACTCTCAATAAATAATATGATCTGCTGCGTGAAAAAGTTTTTGCTTCAGTTTTGATGCATGAACTTCTAGTATCTTATTAGGCTGTCAGATATGTATGTCTGTTTGTTATCAACCAATTAATTAAACAAAAACAGGACAGTAGGTCAAGGTAACTTTATTTATACCCATAGGCAAGGTAAATTTGAAGTAGGTAAAACACTGAAGCTTTAACAATAAAAAGTCCATCAGGAGCAGACGCAACTACCTCCATGTTTTGTTTTGTTTTTGTTTTGTTTTGTTTTGGGGGGGGGGGGTATGATTTAAAAGGTTTTCAGCCAGCAGGAGTTCATAGAAACAAGTTTTGACAAAGCGTCTCATTTGAAGTTGATATGGGTAAATCTCTAGGACATCTTTGTTGTTACATACTAATATAATGATTTATATGGAGACATGTTTTCGTCTGCTGGATTGCCAAAAGCCAAATAATCGCTCTTTTTTAGACCCGCCTTTGGCTGATTACAAACCTTATGATCTACTAATTGGTGGACAGCTGAAAACAGCTGTATGATGTGGCTGAAAATAACTATCTACATACACCTCTGTAGATGTGAGTCTGTGTGTGTGCGCGCACAGGCAGTACCCTTCAGTAAAGAAGTTTCCAAGAACAACTGAAGACCTGAGATTGGTAGAGACACACAACAGAGCCCTGCTGTCCAGAGCCAGAGACCATGGCTAACTTGAACAGACAGATTACAGTTTTTTAACTGCAAGAAAGCAAATTTTGTGTGTGTCTGTGTGTGTATGTGTACATGCGCACCTTTGACATTCCTGCAGTAGCCTGTGTTTAATACAACAACACCAGGCCTATTAAATATCCCCTGATCTATGGCCGTGGCATTTACTTTTCTCTCCATCCTTTGCTTTTTCCCCCTGCTGACAAACAACGCTCATAGCGACAAGTGCCCTTTGATGAAGGAACAGTGTCTCTGTGTAGATTTGTGCGTGTGATCTTTTCACCATAATTTCGGAGTTCAAATCTTAACTTGAAAAAATGCTCACACAAAAGCAGAGTGTAAAGACAGCATTATCACAGAGAGCGTAAAGGTTACCTTGTACGTCCAGAACAGCTCAAAGTGCTCTGTGTGTGGCTGCGTGACTGTAAGCGTGCCAGGCAAAGGCACTGAACTTGTGTACACACCCACCAAAACCTAAAGACCGATCAGTTCCTGATTGGCAAAGTGAATAAAAAACAGACCATCTTATTAATATGTAATTTCCAGCTGGATCTAAGGTTTAGCAGTAGGTTACTTTGTTTCAACTAAACATCTACCCAACGGCAGGTGCCCTCCCTGATGGCAGTGGTCTCTCCCAGAAGGGACGGTAGCAAAAAAATAAAATAAAAAAATACACAGGAACAGCATGAGCACTACAACAAAAGAGCACACTATGTTAATTTGGCCTTCAAACTGTCCCATCAGCATCCATCCATCCAATGCATGAAGCAAGACTCATCTAGAATTAAGTACTTCAGTACCGACAGCAGCCAAAGGATCAACTGTAAATGTCGCTGATGGGTCAGAGCTGTGCTGGCAGCAGGAGGTGTACACAACATTAAGCTTGGGCTTTTAATTTTGTTATTAGTTATGTATATATGTGAATATGTGAGTCTATGAATGTGTATTTATATCATAATGAACAATTTTTTCTTATGTGTGACCTATTCTGTTGTGGCATCTTGATAGTTCAACTGTACATTGAGAAATACGAAATATTCAAAGTGCCATTGTGATTACTTCTAAATTAAACCTTTACCATTAAAACACAACAAAGTGAGCAATTGTTTTAAAATACATTTTAATATATTTATGTAATAATTTGAATTGTAAAATAAAGGGTGACATTTTTTACACTTTTCTTTCCCTCATTCTTTGGTTTTTGATTCCCGTGAATCTTAAAATTAAGCCTCCTACACTGGTGGAGTTTGAATTGATCCATGTTAAGAAATTATTTATACTAAATAGTACTAATGTTAAATTTGATTGCTTCCCCCTTTCCCCATCTTAATTTTTCCACCTTGCTTGGGAAAGTGTGCAGACAAAAACGACTGTTGAATATTTTATTTTCTATATTTAATTTAAAAGTGTACAAAGACAACATCAAATGTTGAAAACTGAGAAATGGCTTTGTGTTTTTGAAAAATAAATGCTCCTCTTGAATTTCACGCCAGGACTATGTTTCAAAAAGGCTTGGAGAGGGGCATTATTACCACTGTGTTGCATCACCTCTTCTTTTAACACCACTGTATAAATGTTTGGAAACCGAGGTGAACAATTCTGAAAGCAAGATGTTTCCCCATCCTTACTCGACATACTGCAGAGTTTTAACGGTTTGACCCTTCTGGGTCTATTTTTTGCCAAATGTGTTCAGTGTGTGATAGCTCGCGCCTGCAGCGAGGCCAGTTTATTACCTGGTCTCTTTTACTAGAGTAAGAGTGATGTTTTAATACCTGCTGGTTTGGCGTTGTCTTATTGAAATAAGCAAGAGCTTACCAGAAAAAGCTGCCGTCTAGGTGTTAGAATATAGTTCAAAACCTTTATATGTCATGCAGATATGAAGTTATATATGCCAAGAGTACTAATGCAATGCTGTGCATGCATGGATCTGAACTGTGCACCGATGGTAAGCCAGTGATTTCCTCTATGGTTTTCTTTTTCTCAGAGAACACCAAAAAGCAGCTGAAATTTCGATTTATCACGCTTATCTAAACTTCTCTCCCTCAAACAGTTGTGGCAGATGGCTGCGCTTCCCTGATCCTGGTTTGCTGGAGGTTTCTTCCTGTTAAAAAGGGGTTTTCCCTTCTAACTGTCACCAAGTGCTTGCTCATAGGGGGGTGTTAGATTGTTGGGATTTTCTGTATTTACCTCACAATACAAAGTGCCTTGATGCAGATGTTGTTGTGTTAGAAAAACAATTTAACTGAATCATGTCAGTTATTACTGCAGTGGCCTCTGAAGACCAGAAGATGATCTCTCCAGCATGGATTCTGGATCTTGTACAAAAGTTATCTTAATTTTCAACCCTTCCTCTTCTTTGCTCTTAAACATTGAATATTGATGTTTCTTATATTCATATTTCAAACAGTGTGTTGTTGGAAACAGAATTATAAGATTCCAACTTTTTTTCTGTGAAATTCCCGAGTCACATCAGAAACATAAACACTTGTCCAGAAGCTTTAAAAAAAACATACAAGGTGGAGGATTGAAACAAGATTGAATATGAGCCAAGCAACTTAGCAGTTTCGTCAGGGTTCAGTGGCTGCCACTGAGCTGCTGCCAGGGTCCTCATTTACTGCTGTTTATCACCAGCCTGCTATCTTTGTGTTCTGTGGGATAAATGGCTGGATGCCAAAGAGCACATGAATCACCTTGTTAATGACAGAACAACACAGATTGCGCATGGTTACATGTGAAGCTGAAAACAGCGTGTGGCCATCTTTCATCACGTGCTGCCGCCCTCTCTGACAAGCGTAAATTGCATCTAAAGTTATCTTAAGCACTGTTTGTGCTGTTGTGGCAGCACTCAGACGCTTGCCTTTGCATTACTCTGGGCCTTGTTAAAGCTGCCAAGACCATCTTCTGATGCGCTAGGAGCGGTATAGGTTGAGTCACAGTGCTTTTAGTAAAGTGTTGTTGATCACACCAGCTACGCTTGACAGGCCAATTCCTCAGGGAGGGAAAGAGAGACAGAAAGAGGCTTAGAACAGGAAAGTGAGAGAGAAGAATATAGAAACATACTGTAGGTAAAGAAAGATGAGAAATGTAGACATTATGATAAGCACAAATGGAGAAAAATGAAGCATGCCGACTTAAGCAACGCATTTAGAGGTAAGTAGGAACACACACTATGTGTAATCACTTCCAAATAAGCACATCTGTGAACATCAACAGAATGAAGCCACACACAGACTGCACACTGTAATCACACACAAACAACCGCATCTGTGTTTCTGGGTGTATAAACACCGCACAGTCAGACCAGCCTGAAATCTTTGCACACAAACACAGACAGGCAGATATAACAAGGACCAACCTTGCCAGCCAGGTTTGCAGACCGGCTTGACGTCAATGCGGACAGGAACGCTGTGCAAGGCTCTCTTCTGGCCGCAGTCCCAGGCTGTCACCTGGATCTCGTACTGCTGCTGGCGATCATAGCTCAGTTTCTCCGTGTTCCGGATGTTACCTGGTAGGGAAGAAAAGGTCGAGGTCAAATTAATCCAAAATAGCTTTTTAAAGCAACTCATTATAGCGTATTGTTGAGTAAATCCAGCTTCCCTATTGTGTCTCATAATGAACACATTCTGTGTTTAGTGGTTTGCCAAAATTAAATGTTTTAAGAATAAAAAATAAATAAATAACCATCATTCAGTTAGTAAACTATTGTCTGGTTTGTGTGGCAGTGATGAAGTTAGAAAGCTGCAATCGCTGTGTCCAATTTTCTACAAAAGAACTCATCCTGTGCAGTTAGATTCTCTGTTAAATTATTCAATTTAATTCACACTTCCCAACCAGCAAAACACCTGAAATTGATTTAGGCAATTAGGGAAAATATAAGGCAGCTGTAGATTTGATCCATTTGGGTGGATCAAATGGTTTATGGCCTGGACAATAAACGCACATTTATCCTAATTTCACATTAGAAAAAAAAAGGCAGCTGTAAATGAAATTAACTATGGTTAAATCACATTTCTCTTCTCATGGGCCAGAAACATTTTGAGACTAAACATAGCTCCCATTGGCTGAGTTAGTAGAAAAATGGAAGACATCCAGAATTTTTGGTTTGAGGAACAGCTATAATTAAAAATCAAAAGCATGCTAACACAGCAGGAAAATATTTAATGGTACATGCACACAGGGCCGTGTAGGGTTGTTTTCCATGCATGCTCTGGATTAGTCATGACTCTTGAGTACTTAAGTATGTTAATATCAAAAAATAAGGCTAAAGACAGTTGACTACTCTTAATGGCAAAACTCAGTTTTCATCCACAGTGGTTGCTTTACTAGAAACTTGACCAGGGATCGCAATAAACTGCCAGACAGTTAAATATGAGTACTGATGCTGATGCTAGTGCTAGCTGGCTCTCTAGCTAAAGGCACCATTGTTTTTCAGCCATTGATGCTACATGTCTTGATTTGATTTTATGTTTATGTAAGTGAAATTGCTGTGTTATTACATAAATATTTAAGGTTAGTCTTTTACATTGAAGTAAACTAACATAAATATCTGAATTGTTTAACACACGCACCTTAAATCGTCATACATGTGGGCTAATCCAACCCAACCACTATTAACTGTTAGCAGATCTACTGCTACTGGCACGTTTAACAGCTGATAAATGAAAATAAGTATAAGTGTGTGTTAATGTTGCACAGCTTGTCGACCAAAGCAGTTGTAATGCTAAAAAACAATAACTAGCTGATCCCAGAAGAATTGGGCAGAACTACACATAACAAATATTAGGAAAATCTTAATATGTTTCATGCATCTAAAAGAAAAATAAAGTAAACAATATATTTAAATATACAGATATACAATATGTTTTTAATAAAACAAACTATCAACATCTCAATTTTAATTATTAGATCTGGGATCTAATAATTTAATCCTTTAATCTGGAAAAAGGCTGCAAGTTCAAAACATCCAAGTGTCATGTAGGTCTTGAGCCAGTGCCACTGTTGATCTTTCTAAATGATTCATTGTTTTGAGTTCTCTATGTCCCTTGGGCTTCCTGTTTTATTTTGATAGTCTCTTGTCTCTTGTGAATTAGGTTCAGTTTGCTTCCCTTACCTTGTTACATCTAAATTTCTTCTTGCTGTGTTTCCCAACTGTCTCCACTCTCCCTAATCTTCCCTTTGTGTATATATTGTCTCAGTCTCCCCTTGTCTCTCGTCGGAGTCTCTGCTCATTTGTCTTCATGTCCGACTAGTCCCATGTTTCCTTACTTTCCTTTCCCAGTTTAGGTTATTTGTTATGTCTTGGTATTTCTTTTGTACTCTCATTCCTGTCTCTCTGCATCATCTGCATTTTGTTCCACACTCAGCTCCACACGATCTGCAGCCCGCAGATCATGACACCAAGTAAATATAAAATGCTCAGTGGAAGCATTTGGGATGTTATTACATATTACAGAAAACAGCCTGCACATTTTTTGGGAAACATTTTATGTAATACATAGCACAAACCCAAACCTGAGTCTGGAGTTTCTAAATCATCAGTGGCTGGAAGTCAGATTTTATAGAGTCATAAAATGGGTATGTGATCTTTTACAGCTAAATGAGTTTCATTTTACTGCAGTCATAAGAAATATGTTATAGCTATGTTTCTGTACTCATCACTAGACTTTTACATTTATTTAGAATGGATCTCTTCTCTAGTCTGGTGCCTTGAAAAATACCCACTTTGACATTTTAGCATAAACCATAGTATCGTCAGTTAAGTATATATACTTGCCTATGCTCTCCCTTGTGGAAAATGAGAAGCAGCAGTTCCACTTAAATGTGTCTACTGCACGACGCTGTATATCTTAATGACATTTTAGACTTTTTAGATAACACACATTGTGTATCTGTTGCTGTCTTCTTTCCCCTTGTGCAGTTTGTTTGCTTAAAGGAGCAATGAGCATTTAATTTTAAACCATCTCAATATGTCATTGTCAAATTAACTTTGATGCTTTAATATAATCACTGTAACAAATGAGATCACGGCAGAGATGACAGGTCTCAAAGTGTTTGATTAGAGCTAATGTTTTTTAAAATTAAGAGCACATTTTCATTAAATCCATGCTGCCTTCTGATTCAGAGACAATGTCGCCCCTGTCTTGCCACTACCACAATTAGTCCTTTCATGTTATTATCATCCTTCGACAATGAGATTGCTATTGTTGTAAAAATTCTAGTTGGTTAACCAACTTCTGATATGAATCATATCAAAGCCCTTATCAGTTTTAATTAGAGATTTTTTTTTGTATTGTCAAATAGAATGAAATGTGGATCTGGATCTATTTCTATTGATACTGGCAATCAATAGAAATAGAAATTATCACAAAGGTTTGTCCCTTTAGGCTTAAAAAGTACACACTTTACTAGATTACATAAGGTTATTTAGAAATTATTAAATATGTTATGTACACCTGCATTTTATTAGAAATGTACTCACCATTAAACAAATCCCAAAAGGTCACACATGATACAGTTAAAAGTGAATGCTAGGAATGCCGGGAAAGCTTAATTAAACAAGAATATGCCACAGTCTGGCAGGGATTCAAAGGGAATAATGATTGCATACTCAACACCTTAGAAGGAACACCTGTTTCCCTCATGGGAAAATTAGCAGGAAGACAGACACAAAAAATAAAATCCAGTTAGTGAGTTCAAAATAAAACAGGAAGTAACTAAAGAGAAGCCCAATATTATGATAATATGTAAAAAAAAAATAAATAAATAAATAAAAAGAGTAGGAGTAGAGTACAAGATGCAATAAACTGCCTTAGGAGAAATGACTCTGAGGTATTATCAGCTTAATTTAAATACCACATGTTTGAAACGAAAGAGAAAAAAATCTGGAGTGTGGACAAAAATGACCTTAGCAGACCTCTGTACCGTGTTTCTTTGCTTAGGTTTAATGCCTCTAGGCTACATTTA